GAGCTGGCGTACTGTAGTCTGAAGTAATTTTATTTATTTTTTTGGAAATTTTGACTGAAACGGTTTACTACTTATATAATATGTGCAGCCAGCCACCAAGCAAACAAGATGTTTTGGCTTTACAGAGCTTTCATGTCGCCATCTTTATAGACGTCAACTGGCTTTTTACATACGACACTACATTTTTCTTTCAAGAGATCTGCAAATGTGTGCGGCTATTTGTGTGTGTGTGTCTAAGTACCACAAACAGATTGACATTAGGTTACACGATTCTCCACTCCCATTTGTAAATAGTATTGCTACAATAATTGCCCAAAAGCACATAGAATGAGACAGCAAAACAGAGACAGGCGTCAAACACATTTGCTCAATAAAACAGGTAAAAATATGTTACAAACGGACTATGGGTTATGACAAATGAACAATCAGATGATGAATAAGTTAGTCAGCCTGGAGATGTCACTTACGAGGCTTCTGGCCCCATACGTGTAGATGTAGCTTCCCGGAGGAGTAGTAAATAAAGCCCAGGACCAGCATGGGGCACAGGACGAACATCAGCTTGTGTGTGGGCTTCATGGTCTTCAGTCATTCACATGGCACCATCCAGGTCATCACCTGAAGAGTAATAGAGAAATGAATCTGTCAGCGACAAGGAAAGAAAATGAACAAAAACAAATGAAGCAAACACAGCACAAGGTTAAAGAAAAAAAAAAAACAGATACACAGGGAGGAAGAGGAACAAGAGGGTGGAGTCAAAACTAAGTATAACAAAGGCTGCTTAAGAGTGGTACGTAGGGAAAAAATACAATGTAGGTAGACACTGGGACACATGGGATGGAAGTAGTTTTATAACGACTGTTTTTGTTCCGACTCCAGCAAGACTGAATCTGACATCTCTTCCCTTGGCTACATACACAGTCCTTTCTTCTTGAGGACTATTCAATCAGTCTCAAGTAAACCTTGAGAAACTTGTTCCAGTATGAGAAGTAGTAAGAAGACTGGGAAGTCAATTTGTGTGGTCCTCATCATCTTCATAATTAGTCATTTCTACTACTATAGTTGTTGCTGCCGTGCAATTTCGTCTCTGTCTCTTTAAAGGAAGTTTCTCTTTTCTCTCCCCACCGCCAAGTGCTTGCTCATGGTGGGAACTGTTTAATTTTATAAAGAGTGCGTCCTAGATGTACTATATCTGAGAAGTGTCCTGAGATAACTTTTGTTATGAATTCGAGCTATACAAATACAACTGAATTGAATTTTGAAACAGTAGATAGTACTCTAGTACACTTTGGTATTTATCACCCACTTCTCTATAAATATAACGTTTCACAGGAAATAACTCCCTGCAGATGGTGTGACTGTGTCAGTTTTGTAAAGTCATTGTTGTTAACAGTGATACAAAATGACTGCTCTATGTAGTTCTTCTCACCTCTCAGTAAACCCAGCACCATGGGATTTCTTTCAACCACAGACATATTCTTTCGAAGCATAATCTACAGCTTTCACTGAACACAAACCCTGCGAAACAAAACATGCTGCGCAGAATTTCTCATACGGGGTATCAAAAATATATCAAACTCCATCTGGGCCATCTCCGTTTCATCCTGTGAACTGCTAGAGGCCAGTGCAAATGAGGGACTATAAAGAAAAGGGAAATGTCCGAGCAGGGTTGAGCTCAGATGTGATTGCAACATCTCCACAAAACCACACATTACAAAATAGCAATTCATAACTCACATGGGGCAAGAAATGCAGGTTAAAATTGTTAATACTAATAGTCACCTGACAAACTGGCTCGACTAGGCTTGGGAAGACACCTGTGGAGAACATTCAACAGCATTTACTGAATTAGTCAATGTATGTAAATGAACCCAAGCAAGCAGCTACACCACTGCAACTCTTGGGAGTCCAGTGAAAGCATAGGGTGTATCTCCCCCTACACATATTGCTTTCTACAGTCACTGCAACGGAACATTGTCCAACTCTACCCAACTAAATGCCATCAGGCTACATTAGTGTCATGGAAACACTAAATAAGGTAATTCAGAAGCATAAAAATGCTTAATCACGACGACCAGCAGCCTCCCTCAGTAGTGTTTTAACTCACCACATCATTGTGTAAACGAGTTTCAGTGGCAGCAGTGACTCTGCTCCACATCACAGTCATTTATTATGTAAAAGAGTTATATTTCAGTCCATGTCGAAGGTTAAGTAAACGTTAGGTCTCTACTTTCTCTTGTCGGCCGTGTAGTTTACCAAGCTGTTAGCTGGCTACTTGACCCGTTTACTGAAAATAAAGTTCAGCTAGCAAAACAAACATAACGGAACTTTGCGGTCCCATAAGTCAACGCTATAATACCTCAGTGTCCCCAGGCACAATGTGCACTTAAACGTTACCTGTGGCTTTATTCTTACCTTTAAGATAACCCCGTTTACGCTGGGGTGGTAAAACTACGCGCATTACTAACGGCTACTAACGTACATAATGACAAACGACGGGAGGTTGGCGCTGTACCAACGGACAATATGAAGCAGCTAACCGTTAACCGTTAGCTCAGGTTAGCCCGTCGCTATGCTAACAACGCTACGTTGGCATAGTGGGGAACTAACGTTATGCCTTGTCCGCTTCTGCGGGCCTGCGGCGCAACAACACAGCACTGTTAGGGACATGTTGTGGCAAGCAATCAGTGTCCGAAACAGTCCACGCGTGTAGGATACATACTGGTGTGTAACAACACCGACTGTCCACCGAAAAAACAATGCTGAGGTTACCGGAACACCGGTTTGCCTAAATTAACCAGCACCATCACCATCACCGCTGTCGAGTAAAACACGGCGTAGCGACGTCTCACTGCTGTTTCCAGTGGGTTTGAATAATGTCAGACATTACCTTCTTCTTCTTCTTCTTCTTCTTTTCCTCTGAGTCCTCGGGAAGAAACAGTACCGGCCTTTAGTTTAAATAATGGATTGGTCGGTAAAACGACCGTGTTCGCCCTCCTCTCCCAGCCATCGTGATGGAATCCATGAAAGTACCCCGGCTCTGTTAGCACAACACGACCGCTCTTCACTGTGTGTCTCCCCCACTGTCTGCTCTACCTCGCATCAACACGGCTACAGTGAAAAAGCACCCCCCTCTTCTTCAATCAACATGTCCATGAGCAGCAGCAGGAGCCCGCTGGTCTTACAGCAATACGGTTTGACCGCGACAGTCACATGAGGAGTCTCTGAATTATCATGCCCCCTCCTTTTTTAACGGGGCTAAAATGAAAGCACTTTTTCAACTGGTTCTTCACGTGGTGCTCTCCTTCCTGCTCGTCAGCTGTTCACATCGCATTGTAGCTGGGTTTGCTTTTGCACCTATAGCAGACCCATCAACCCACCCCCAGTCCTCGCTCAGCAGCAATAATAGAGATGCAATAATGTATAGAGGTTTGCTGAACTGCCTGCTGCCCAACACTATTATAATGACATGTGCTTGGGTCAGCTCTATTTTGTGATTGAGTGTACAGGTGTGAAGCACGTTTTCATCCTATAGACATGGTTGGCTGAAATCCAAAGAGAAAAGTAAATTCAGTTTTAGATTGAAGCCTATTTTCGTGCACTTTTGTAGTGAGTGGAGTAATTTGTCTTTAAGTAAACACCTTTCTCCAGACAGTCCTTGTCTTGTCTAAACAGTGGAATCTTAGTTTTTATGTAGATGCATATCTAACAGACCACCACTGTTGCATCAATGTCTTTGGTGGATCTGCACTGGTTTGGAGTGCTTTTCCTGAAAAATTCAGCTCTAATTATTCCTAAGGGGCCTATAAGTAATCATTACTTATACAAGTGTAAGCCCCTTTGCTCCATGATGATGATAGAGGCTCCTAAGACATAAGTACCTACCAAACTGTTTGTCACAAGCTGTGTAATACTGTGTGTTGTATCCAAGGAGGTGGTTTCTACCGTCATCATGAAGTCAGAGAACATGTGATCAACTAGAATCACTTCTGAGTACGTCATCAAACTTACACTGGAAGTCATGAAAAAAAGAGAAGAACCAAAAGCAGTCATGTTTTAAAAGGTTAAATACAGTTTCCAGCTTAAAGTATGAAGGTGAGATGGGTCCATAAGGTATAAAAACAACAGCAATGATCATGTTGGAAAAACACCACACTCACTCCAATAGGGGCCTCAGTCAATGAGGCCTCATTATTCATAGAAAACCAACCCATCCGCATCCACATAAACAGGCATATATATAAAACACTTTCATGTATAAGAAGTAACAGGAACTGTCTGGCTTGTAATAGCACACTATTTGCTCTAGTTTTCAGACACTTTAAGAAACATGAATTTGTCAGAAAATATAAACACCTTAATTGTTGTTTGTCATCATCTCTAATTTTCTGTCACTAATGAGACCTTTTATAAAGAATTCTTGTCTCACAGCCCAACCGAGTTAAAGCACAAACATTTGGGTAGTCCTCTGCACCGAATCACTGCACACGAAACACGAGTTGTCAGCTCATGTTCCTGCATACACATGTAGAGTCAAGCTCATGTAAAATAGATTCAGCTTCAGTTGTTCAAAGCAGTCCTCACTACTGGCTGTCAAGCTGGTTGTAAATTACGGAAATTAACCTTGAAGAGCTGGTGTGAGATTCACACATTGATGTTCCCATAAATATGAACAGACTATGTTTATCAAACTTCTAAGAATAGAAGTGTTGATATAAATAATTGAATGAGCTAAGATGCTTAATAAACACTGGCTCTGCAGACCTTGTATCTGGCAGCTCAAGGCAGATTTGTTGTATGGCAGCAGATCTATAGTCCTGTCCCTCACACCTGCTCGGGTTACTCTGGTAATTCAGTTTTCCCCTTGGATCTTGCGCCTTATTTGTACCCTGACATACACAAGGTCTCATATCCTACATAAGCAGTTGTTGGGCTGCGAGCCAAGTTGAGTGAGGTGAAGGGGGGGTTCTTCCGTTTTGCCCTGCAAAGAGTGTGGCAGAGTAGCATACTGATCTATAAATATTAGATCAAACAGGAAATACAATATGCTCACCCACTGTTCTCCATCTGGGGTTAGGAGATTAGCAGGAGCCAGGAGAATAAAATACAGACAAACACAGAGACACACACATACACAAGCCTATTGACGTGTTCCAGGATCACAGATTTTTTCTCAGGATCTGGTGTGGGTTGGCAGCACTTTGTGGCCTTTGGTACTCGGATCATTCATTAACATCACACTTACGAGAGAAAATGATCGATGGCCATGGAAAACAATGCAAGGAGCTGACATTTTCCACTCTCAAACCATGTCTGGGAAGTACACTGTTATTTGTTTGTCTGCTAGTAAGGATCTGTGTTCCTGAGGGGGAAAGCATTTTTGTTTGTTTTATACATCCACAGATTGTAGTGCATTGGCCTTCCTGTACAAGTCGAGTTGCTAAGATGAAGCCACATCTGCATTACTTCGATGCTTCAGGGTTTCAACATGACTCAGTTATTTTAAAAGTTTGGTTTTCTTGCTTTTCCTCTGTCATGCCCCATTCCACTAATGCTCTTTTTTTTTCGCACTTGCAAAAGTATGAATAACAGAGCAGCATAGTCTTGAGTGACAGGTCTGTCATGATAACAGGAATGCATACTCCAACAAAAATGAAATCCTTCCCCACGAGCAGAGATACCATCAGGTCCTTCACTGGAATTAGCATTTTATTTCTTCTTCGAGTGTAGTCAGACAGTGTCCGCTGTGCACAAGCTCCCACTTGAGCCCACTCCAGGAGCTTAAAGCTACAATGAATCAGTGGGTCGCGGAAACAGTGAAATTATGTGTAGGAAAATATAATGGCTTTCATGAGCTTCTGTTATTTGTGTAATTGTAGCACATTTTCTATCCTCCAGGCTTAAAAAATACTGCAGTTTAGATGTAAGTGATAATACTGGGCTATAACAGTTGTGCTAAAGCTCAACATCAGGAAAGAAGCTCACCAGAGATTGTAAACCGCTTGATCAAATCTGCACCTACTATAACCCCTCCTATCCAAGTAATAAATCCCTCTTTAAAGGAACTTAATCTGGTCTTTCACCACTGTTCCAAGCTACAGTGCAGTGTAACTTAATATGCAAAACAATTCTAATGAGCCGTACCATACACAAGTGTACTTTAGTCTATCTTGATCACTTCATCTCTCCGAAATGAATTCCTTCATAAGTATAGCCAGACGTTACTGTGGCAAAATTAATAAATGATTGTTGTATCATCTGAATCATAGATTAACTATCTGCGCAATAGCTTTTACTGTTCTGGGCAGCCAGCAGGAAATAAACAAGTGCTGATGGGATACTAATAGATCCTGAGCATACAGGGGCAGAGAGACTGAGTGACTGCATCTGAACAATACTTTCGCTTCCCGCTTTTAGCTATTTACTGATCTGCTGGTAGACTTGCTGTTTTCCCCGGCTTCCAGTCTTGATAAACTAAGCTAACCGGCTCAGGGGTGTAACCATTGACATTCAGGCAGTGTGGTTGCACTAGGGCCTGTAGATAGAGCAGGCCCTCCAGCAAGGTGTTAGATGGAAATCAGGCCCTTGTGAGTGATTCAGATTGCCAACGTGGAAAGTGTTTAAACAAGAACTCATAACTCATAAATCATACTTTTTTTTTGTATTCTTGTTATATACAGATATGCAATGATCTTTGCTTGGTGATATGTATGTGGATATTGTTTAATTTCTCTAATTGACACAGAAGCTAGGGATAATAGGATACACTTTAACCGTCAAAACTTCCTTACAACACTGAACCAGCTGCTGGCTCCAGCTTCATTAAGCACATGTGAGAGTAATAATAAAGGAAGACGTCATGGAATAAACATAAAATGGGCCATATAGTAAATAGGAGGGAAAAAAGAAAAGATACATGGTATCCATTCTTGCAACATTAGTGGCAGCCAGAGGTAACTCATACACAAGGCAATAACAGCATGACAGGGCACATGCTGGATGTTGACACACCTCAGATGAATTAACAAACGACTTGAAATTACAGTCAAACGTGATGTCCAAAGCAGTTTCCAATCAAGAGTTTCAAAGAGCACAACCAGCAAGAAATCTCATTCAAATCCTTTTCTTTTTTTCTGTTTAACTTCTTCAGTTTGTCTCTTATCTCCCATTCAAACATGCAAACCGTATCTCTCCCCCATGCATTTAATGTCTAATTAAAGTAAACACAAAGAAGCAAAGGTTGTGTGTTCATTCAGTAATGATTAACAGATTAGGTCAATTCAAAAATTAATTTAGGTTGCTGTGCTTTTGGAATTTCCCCATTGTGGGACTATTAAAGGAATATCTTATCTTTATCCATCGTGGGGAAATTCTACCATTTTGAAAGCAATCGTTCAACATTCTGGGAAAACAGCTCTCTTGTCAAGAGTTAGATGACAATATTAAAGGTCTAGTGTGTAACCTTTAGGAGGATCTGTTGGCAAAAATGGAATTTAATATTCATAGGTATGTTTTCATTAGTGTATAATCACCTAAAAATAAAAATCAGTCTTTTGTTATCTTAGAATGAGTCCAAATAAGCATATTTCCCACAATGCCAAACTTTGACCCCCTTGCTAAAATTCCAACAAAAAGGTTTAGCAAGTTTTATCAAATAAAATGTGTGATTATGCATATTGTACAATACTACATATCTGAACATAAAAAGAAGATTATACATGGCCTTCTTATGGACTGATTACAGAGTAATTTCTACTTCCCAGGAATGCATCAGGGAACTTATTTTAAGCCCCACCAGGTCAAGGTCAGGATTCACCCTTGGCCCACAAATAAGTCCTGTTTTTGTTTCAAGCCTCTATTTATGCTTGTGCAGATACTGTCATAAGGGACAGATTATATGACAAAAACATTTCCACGCACAAAGAGAAACAGACATAACGTCTACATAGATGTTATAATGTAGATCATTTGGGCTTTTAAAATTAGCTCACACTCTATCGACATGGGCTCTATATAATATGGCATTTAGGTTCCTTTCTTTAACAGAGATATCGCTCTGCTTTTAAATATGAAGTCCTGTAAAATATTTTGTTTGTATGGGTAAGAAAAATTACGTTTCCTTAAATTCCCCTAAATGTAGAAACAGAACTTACCTTTTCAGCTGTGGCTGTTAAGTCCTCAATCCAGAGTCTTACTAGACTAGAGCAGTACTTCAAAAGGTAAACACGGAAGACATACCCTTTTACCACTCTCTGCAAA